GCCCCTTCTCCCGAGGACAAGCCCACAACCATTCTCTCAGAAATGTCTCCGGCTCTGCCCCTAGGGAATCCCATCCATGGCAGTTACTTTCACAAACTCTTCCCAGATTTGCTCACTATTCCCAGGACATGGCTATCCACATTCGCCAGTGATTTCACACACAGCAGTTCTAAATACCAGCACGCCCATATCTAAGATCAGACGAATCGGGGCTCAGAGGATGTGGGTGATAAAGGACACCAGTGACTTGCACTTGTTTTCGGATCTGTATCTTTGTGTGTTGTGGCTCAGAGGATGTTCACCACCCGGGACGGTGTGGTATTGCAGAAATAAACAGGTTTAAACCCTGACACTGCAACTTGCCAGTTGCACAAACTTGGGCAAGAAACATACTTCTCTCTGCTTCCTCACCACTAAACAAATAATAATAGCTCCCAAGACACTTGAGTTTTTATGAGAATTAAATGAGATAGTATATACACCACTCAGGGCCATACCATACCTTTCTTAATAGGCATAATTATGGAACTTACCTCACAGGTCGAGTTCCCAGCGGTGTGGCTGGCACATGGCGTGTACTCAGTGGATATGAGGTGCCGTTACAGCGAGTAGGCAATGAGTGTTCATTCCTGTCTCACTGTTGGCCATGGGGGGGGGGGGTACCTTTATTTAGAAGTTCCTTCAGAGTCCATTGCACTTCACCATTCCCGTGATCATGATAATTCAGTGTGTAGTTCTTATCTCCGAGAACTGGATTTTATAAGTAAGCTCCCATATATTGAAATTCTGTGACTTTTCTTTTTGGGTAGAAAACAAACATACCTACAGCCAGAATTAAAGAATTTCGTCTTCCTTCAAGTCTTGCTTAAACTTGTTACTCCAGCCCCTGACCAGCCCTAACCTGCTGACAAGGCTTACACACAGAAGTGTCAGGATTCACACCGAAGCAAAGGGTCACGGGGGAAAGTGTTCGAGTCCCAGGCCACAAGTTCTTTTCTTTGTGACCTTTGGCCAAAAACAATGTTCCTCCGACAACTTGAGATAATATTTTTCTATGAATATGAAAGAATTTATGCTTAGCCGAAGAGAAGAGGTAAGAAAAAACATGTATCCTTTTATCATCAGTTAATAATATGCTGGCTTGGAGGAACTAAATCCCATTTGATCCAAAGTGAGAAAAAAAAGAGTGAAATGAAGCTCTGCTGGCTTGGTAGCAGGGCCGGGCTGGCACCCGACCAGGAAAGGTATGAAAAGGCAAATGCACCTCCTGCCATGTGGCCAGGAAGTGGTTTGTGTAGAAGAGGGCTAGGATTTATTTGGTGACTTCTCGGTCATTCAGCTGTAGCCAAGTGAAATCCTGGGAGCTGTGCCCCGGACACCCCGGGCGTGGAAGCCCGAGAGGCTGAGACATGAGACACCCCCCACCCCCACCCCGGTTCCTGTCCTCCCATGGGAGGGGCAAAGGAGGCCACATGGAGACAAGGAGACCAACACAGGTTCTGAGAGACGTGGGCCCTAAGAAAAGAAGAGGTTACAAAGACCATATTTTTTTCTATTTTTATAACATTTTATATAACTCATAAAACAGTGCTTGTATAAAAATTCACACAAAGTTTGCTAGAGAGCATACAATTTCCAAAAATGTCCTGGGTTTTTGTTACATTCAGTTTTCTAAGAATGCACTCAAATCAATGGTAAAATGCAGACATTATGCAGTATTTCATTATCTTTGGTAAAACTATTCTCGTTATTTTGTCTCCTCACAGTATTAACTCTGATATCCACTTTGTGCAGGGTCTGCTTTCACTAGGATGTCAGAAAAACATTAAGGCTGGATCTACATGAGGCAAGTATTTCCAAATGGCATTAACAGCCCGTTGGCCCCCACCTCCACTTCATACTCCTATCCACACAGCCAGGCAGGGTGAGAGATCTCAGTGACCTCCAATCAGGGGTCTCAAGACCCCACTGCAGTCGGACAAGAAGCAAACATTTGGGGGGGGGAAGGTAGAAACCGAGGCCATCTCTATAGGAACCCAAGCGGCCGAGCTGCGGTGTGGTCAGGCCAGCGACTCTTACCATTTAAACAGCGAATCCTTTCACCACTAAGTAGATCCCATTGGTTGGTTGATGATTGCTGCTGACGTGGTAACCCCTCCACCCAAACGTAAAAAGAAAGGAAGATTTGGGGCCAACACCGAAGGGGGAGGGGCACACTATGGCCCATGACACTAGACACAACTTTATTCCCTGTCAAACATTTGTTGTCATGTAGACACAGCCAAAGTGAACTGAAGCAGGATTAGAACACTTAGTACATTCATGACTACCTTCATACATTCTTTTAAAACTTACTAACAAGAGAAAACGAGGGGCACTACCACCTATTGTGACTTGCTATTTTCCTTAACATCAGAATGTGTCTGTGCTAATTCTTTAGTCCTCCAGAATCAATCAAGGAAAAAAGAACCCAAAAACAAACAAGTAAAAACCAAAGAATCTGGATGGGGAGGGGGAAGGGGTTTACCAACACATTTGATGGAAAATACTAAATTTTGAAAAAAGTATTTTGTACTTCTATTGCTTCATGTAAAAAACTGCCCTGGAGCCCACCTGTATGGCGGAGAGCTGAGGACGCCATACAGACAGACGCAGGACCTGCAGGGTTTTCCTGATGAGACGGTCCGGAGGGACAGTCACCAACTCCCAGAGTGTGTCCACCTCTCGCCACTAAAAGGGACTCTAAGATTAGGGGCCGGGCGGAGGTGGGGGGTGGGGGAGAGGCCCTGCACAGGAAAGGTATTAAGGAAACCACCAAAATGCAGTTTCCAAGAACTGAACATGCTCTAGGTCGTGAAGAAACACATTTCATCCCTAGAACTTGTTGATTTCTCTAACGTGGGGGAGACGGGACTTTTTATTATTGATCAATGATTGTGCTTCTGAAGTTGTAGGGTCGTAGTGCACCCTCTAGAAAGCAGGGCAACTTTCACATGGCTTGGAATCCTCTGGGACACATGCTAGAGACCAGAACAAGTTCCGCGGCGCTCTCGGGCCAGAGGGCTGGCGGGCGAGGGTGCCGCGGCCATCTTTGGGTAGGGCGTGCGCACGCGCATGTAGACTAAGGCGTCGGGAAAGGCCCACGTGAGGGGGAGGAAGTGAGTTTCCTGGCTGCGCTAGTCCCTTCTTTCCGAGGCACAAAGAGGTTGAGCTCATTGTTCATGTAGGTCCCCTTCATCCCACTGAAGTTTTTCAGTAAGAAATGTGTGTGCACATGTGGGTGGCTGTGGGTGTATGTGAGAGAGTCATTAAGTCCCTGTGCAATTCTAAGTTTCAATAATTTAGGTCTGCAGCTTCGACAGAAATCATCTGTAAATGACATGTAAAAGCAAATTTACTAAAGTTAGATTGGCAACTTTACGTTGCTCAAAATCCTGTCATTAAAAAGAAAAAAAATTAAAAGCCCTCTGGGTGCAGGCAAAATTATGTCATACAGCCACCGGAACTGCAGTCTTTATCAGTTGTATAAAGAAAATTCACAGATTTGTTTCTATTATTTCTGTATTTTAAGGTAGCAAACATTAGGCCACTAGGTTATTAACTCTGCAACATTCCACAAGGGTTTTAGGACCACCCTATGTGATTCAGTTCATTTTCCAAGTTTCCGGTATGATGTACTCCGTTTGGGTTATACCATTTCCTTTCCCTCTGAGGGCTTTGGACCCCAAAGTCAGGTAGGTAAAAGTATTGTTTTTCAGGACTTTACCTGCTGGGGCATTTCCTGACTGGATGTCCTGGAGAAGTATGCCACTGGCCTGGAGCAGTGTGACCTTCCCAACCAGTGATGAAAGAAGAGATGTCTTACTCCTAGGCCAAGGGACTGGCCAAGGGTAGGGCAGCAGAGCTTCAGGGGGGTCTGAGGGGACAGCTGAGTGGACTCTGGGAAGGGACGGGGGAGCCCCAATGAATGACCTGTGACCTTCCAATGCCAGGTATCCCCAAGAGGGCCCGAGGCCTGGGCTTGCCCTGAGGAACAAGGATGTGCTACCGACGGGAGGGGCTCACACTGAGGTGTGGTGAAGCCATCAGACAGCTCCCAGAACCGGGCTTTTTGCACAAATACACACATGGAAAGTAAACAGCTTTGGTGAGCTCAGAGGGGCCCATCCTTAAATCAAACAAGAAGCCAAATATTCACACACACTATTTTCCAAGGAAATGTGTCTGCCCCTCCAAACAGCATCCTTGTGTAGAGAGGGACGGGGGCAGTGGAAGGACACAGCTCAAAATGACATTGTGTACGTGTTTCCACGTCTATCTACATTCATATCATCATCATCATCATCATCATCCAGTGTTCTCGTCTACAGAGAGTGAGCACAGCATTCTACCGACATTGGCAACTACGAATAGGCCAGGTTGCGGGTAGGCCCCTTCCTCAGCACCACGGCGGAGGATGCAACCATGCTGGGGGAGGAGGTCCCACTACTCCATCCCCTCTGCTGCCATCCAAGGGGCATCTTGACTCTTCCAAAGTCGATGTAAAAGACAAGGTCAGTAAAACTGGTCTCTATGTCACCTGAAGCTATTATTAGCCATCATGCAGGAACATGGCATTTCTAAAAATTTCATAAATCTGAAGCCATCTTAAAAAAGAAAAAAATCCCAGCAACTGAAGTCATCTTACAGTACTTCACCTCAAATATTTAAAAGATAGTTTTTCTAAGTGAAATGGCCCCCAAAGAGCCCAATGATTTTTTTTTTAAAAAAGGTTTCTTTTTAATTAAAAACAAATGGATAAAAATGGAAGATGTAAAATGTGGGAAGAGGAACAAGAGAGCTGCTGAGTATGCATCTGAAATCGCGGAGGGGGGGGGGGGGGAGAGGACACAGCCAAGGAGAGAACGCCCTACGCCTGAGGCCTCTCTGCTCTCACGGCTCCGCTCTCCCGGACTCTGGCTGCACCCCTGGGACACGGGACTGAAAGTCGGGAGTGGGAGAGACCAAACGCAAGGCTCCTTTCCTGTGGCTGGGTGGTGTCGACGTGTGCAAATGCAGTGAGCCACTCCCCACCGACGTAAGGTGCGTGTCTGTGGATCCCGCGGGCGCGCTCCGCCAGAACGCTCAGTCCCCGGCGCGCCCATCACTTCTCCACCTTCTTGGCTTTCTTCAGGATGTCGCATTTTTTCCTGTTGGGGCGGCGGCACCGCTCGTCGATGCTCGGGATACACTCGTAGTGCCACACCTCCTCCATCTTCTCCACCGGGTACACGGCCTCCACGTAATGCCGGATGAGCCTCAGGCGCGTGGGGTCCAGCTGCTTCTTGTTGCAGGCGCCCGAGTGGTTGTACTGCAGCCGCAGGTTCTCGGCGGTGAAGAGTTCCGGGAAGAGCCTGACCAGGAGCCGGGCGGCGAAGTTGCCCACCGACAGGCTCTGCTGCACGATCTCGCGCACCTCCTTGTCCGACAGCAGGTACGGCGAAGGCACCGGGAAGTCGGGCGAGGGAACCACCAGCTCGTCCAGGGGGATCTTGCAGAAGTCCTTGCTGCTTCTTTCGGGGGGCAGCGGGGGCCCCTCGAATTCCTCTCGGAACCTCTCGGGGTTGACCGCATAGCTCGTCAGGTCCCGGCACTCGGGGCCCGGCACGTGGACCTTGCGCTGCTGCTGGTAGGAGCGCCGCTGCTCCGTGTCGCGGCGCCGGCAGCGCTCGTCCAGCTTGCCCACGAACTCCAGCGTCCAGACGCGGTCGTTCTTGGCGCGCGGGTACAGCAGCTGCACGTAGTGGCGGATGAGCCTGATGCGGGACGGGTCCAGCTGCTTCTTGCCCAGGGAGCCGCTGCAGTTGTACTGCTTGCGCAGGTTGTCGGGCGTGAAGAGCTCGGGGAAGAGGTGCACCAGCAGGCGCGAGGCGAAGTTGCCGATGGACAGGCTGCTCTCGTAGATGCTGCGCAGCTGCTCCTTGCTCAGCAGGCAGTCGGCGCCCGGCACCTCGAAGTCGGGCTGCGGGATCTCCAGCTTGTCGAAGTCGATGGGCACCAGCCAGATCTTCTTGGAGCGCCGGCCCGGCCGCTCGCCCTCGAAGCTGTCTTCCACCTTGACCACGGAGACGTCGTCGGGCAGGCTGGAGGAGTCGTAGCAGTCGTCGCGCGCGGGCTCGCCCTCGCTGCCGCCGTCCAGCGCCAGGCCCTCGAGCTCGTCGTTGAGGCGCTGGGCGCACTGCTGCAGCCAGGCCTCCTCCTCCTGCATGTCGGGGAAGTAGATCTCCGTGTAGTTGCGGATGATCTGCAGCCGCTGCGGGTCCAGCCCCTGCTTGCCGCCGTCCCCGTAGCAGCTGTACTGCTCGCCCAGCTTCCGGTGGTCGAAGAGCTCGGGGAAGAGCCGGTGCAGGAGGAAGACGGCGAACTCGCCGGGGGACGACGCTTCGTCCAGGAACTCGGTGAGGTCCTGCGTGTCCACCACGTGGTCTGAGGCGATCGTGCTGCTCCGGTCCAGGGACAGGGCCTCCTCCTGGTCCTTGCTGTCCAGGAAGTGGCTGGCGTCCACCTGCTCGGCCTCGAAGAAGCCGGCCACCTGGCCGCCGGGCTGGCTGTCCTCCATCTCCCGCTGGGCCCAGAAGCGGCTGAAGAAGTCGTTCAGCTGGGGCAGACACTCGGCCTGCCACACGGCCGTGTCCTTCACCGAGGGGTAGTAGACCTCCACGTAGTTGCGGATGAGCTGCAGGTGCAGCGACTCCAGCTTCCGCTTGGCCGCGAAGCCGCACGCGCTGCAGCCGCGCGAGAAGTCCACGTCGCTGAAGAGCTCGGGGAAGAGCTGCACCAGCAGGCGGCAGGCCAGGTCGCCGCCCGACAGGCTCTGGTCCACGATCTGCTTGAGCTCCGCCGCCGTGAGCTGGTACTCGGGGGGCGGCTGGAACTTGGCCACCATCTCGGTGGGGCTCACCTGCTTCTTGATGCGGCTCACCTCCAGGGAGAGCAGGTCCACCTTGCTGTGCAGCTGCGACATGTTGGAAGAGAGCGTGTTGAGCATGTAGAACATCTTCTGGATCAGAAAGTAGATGTTGGGGTCGGCGTCGGTGGCGGCCGCGGCGCCGCCACAGTCCCGCTTCTGGGGCTCGTTCAGGAGCCGCAGCGGCGACGGGCTGTTGCTGGAGTTGGCCTTGTCGAAGAGCTCGTACGTGCTGAGCACGTCGCCGGCGGGAGGGTTCTTCTTCTCCATGATCTTGTGTGAGATGCCATACAGAGGCTTCTTGTAGGACGGCGTGCTCCCATCGTTGCAGGGCTCCTCCTCGCCGGGCCACGCCGAGCCCAGGCTCTTGCCCCTGCCGGCCTGCTCCCCGTTGCCCTGGCAGGGCGAGCTGTTCTCCCGGTTCCGCATGCCTGCTAGGAGGGCCTGGAAAACAAACAGTGTGTTAGGCTCCTCGCATTCACTACACTACACAGGGGCCGGAGACACACGGTGGTGCCAGGGTCCACCTCGGCAGTGTGTGAGGAGCCACTTCCCTCGCCCCGGAGTCACTCTGCCCGGCCGGGAACGCACAGCTGACCCAAACCCACATGCCCGCGCCACAACAGCTCCCTCTTCCTCCTCCCTGAGCGAGGCTCGGCCCGACCTTCGGGAAGGCTCCCCCGTCCTGCAGGACAACCACCCTGCCAGGGATGCGAGAGAGACCCCACGGCGGGAGGAGCCCCCGCAGTGGCCCTGCCCCGGGCACGGCAGGCACCTCACTGACCTGGGCCTCCGGCTGATCTCAGACGGGGATCGGGAGTCCTGCCCACAGCAGCTCGGGAAGACAGCAGCGTGTCTGCCAGTCTGCAGCCTCGAGGAGACCAGGCAGCTCCTGAGGCGCACGGTGGTGAGCACAGAAGAACGGGGGTCTGCTGCACCCCTACCGCTGCCCAGAGTGACCTCTTATCTCAGACTAGAAAAGGGCCGGCCCAGAACGTCCCAGAGCCCGTGCAACTGTGGACTGCATGAGGTATGGGGGCCCCAGGTTTCTCAAAGAGCTGCAGGAGACAATTACGCCCCAGTGTCTGAAGGCGGCCACTGGATGTAATGTATTCCTGCCTCTCCTATGCATCTACAAGGGTAATGCCATGCACACTCAGCCCTGCTCAACAAAGGACAGGGAGGGAATTGAACTCTATCAAACTCATTTCAGGGACTATCTCCTCAGCTCACCCAAGGATGGCACACACACTCTGCAAGTCCACTCTGCTGGACTCGCACAGCAAGCTCAAGATCCCCTTTAAAGACCCCAAAGCTTGAGTCCCAGCACCACCACTGGATAGCAATCAACCTTGGCCATCTGAGAACCCAGAGTTCTTGTTGCTTTCACCAGTGGTTTCCCCTGTTGCCAGGCCCTGAACATTTCAAGAGGCTTATTTATGTACATATGGCCAAGTGATTTTCAACACAGGCTCAAAGGCAATTCAATGAAGATCATCTTTTCCACAAATGATGCTGGAACAACTGGATATAGATACGCAAAACCAAACAACAAAAATTTCCATCCTATGTGTACCACATAAAGAAATTAACTCAACATGGATTGTGGACATAAATATAAAACCTAACTTAAAATTCTAACACTTCTAGAGGCGCCTGGGTGGCTCAGTCGTTAAGCGTCTGCCTTCGGCTCAGGTCATGATCCCAGGGTCGTGGGATCGAGCCCCGCATCGGGCTCCCTGCTCAGCGGGGAGCCTGCTTCTCCCTCTCCCACTCCCCCTGCTTGTGTTCCTGCTCTCACTGTCTCTCTCTGTCAAATAAATAAAATCTTAAAAAAAAAAAACTGTAAAATTCTAACACTTCTAGAAGAAAACATAAGAGAAATCCCTTATGACCTTGGTTTAGGCAAATATTTCTTAAGATATGACACCACAAACATAATCCATAAGAGAAAAAAATAGGGGTGCCAGGGTGGCTTAGTCGGTTAAGTAACGTCTGCCTTCAGCTCAGGTCATGATCCCAGGATCCTGGGATCGAGCCCCACATCGGGCTCCCTGCTCAGTGCGAAGTCTGCTTCTCCTCCCTCTGCTTGTGCTCTCTCTCTCTCTCCCTCTCTCTCGCTCTCTGTCTAAATAAATAAATAAATAAATAAATAAATAAATAAATAAATAAGATGCTTATTAATAACCTACAAATTAAAGCCCACTGAGAGATACCTCATCATCCCTACCAGAATGGGTACAAACACAAAGACAATATCCAGTGTTGGAGATGTGAAGGCCATCGAAACTCTCACACATTGCTGGTGGGGATATAAAATGGTGTAACTACTTTGGAAAACAGCTGGTAGTTTTGTTTTGTTTTTTTTTAATTTTATTTGTTTATTTGACATAGTGAGAGACAGCACAAGCAGGAAGAGCAGCAGAGGGAGAAGCAGGCTCCCTGCTGAGCAAGGAGTCCGATGCGGGACTCGATCCCAGGACCCTGGGATTATGACCTGAGCCGAAGGCAGATGCTTAACCGATGGAGCCACCCAGGCATCCCACAGCTGGTAGTTTCTTAAAAAGTTAAATATACACAGACCATATGATCCTGGTATTCCATTCCTGGATATTTATTTACCAAGCAAATGGAAAGCACATGATCATCCAAAGACTTATACACAAATGCTCATGGTAGCCCCATCTGTAACTAGCCAAAGGTGGAAACAACCCAAAATGTTATCAGCAAGTATACTGTCTTATATGCATATAATGGAATACTACTCAGCAATAGAACTGATACACACAGTACTCACGAGGAGTCTAAAAATAATTATGCTAAAAGAAGCCAGACAAACAAAAAAGAGGCCATACTGTAGGATTCCATTCATATAAAATACAAACTTATCGATAGTGGGGTTACCTGGTGGTGGAGGAAGGACACAAAGGGGCACATGGAAACTTTATGGTACTTGGTGACTCATGTTTATTATATATATATATTTTTTTAAAGATTTTATTTATTTATTTATTTGACAGAGAGAGCGACAGCAAGAGAGGGAACACAAACGGGGAGTAGGAAAGGGAGAAGCAGGCTTCCTGCAGAGCAGGGAGCCCGATGCGGGGCTCGATCCCAGGACCCCGGGATCATGACCTGAGCCGAAGGCAGACACCCAACGAGTGAGCCACCCAGGCGCCCCATGTTTATTATCTTGATCGTGGTGATGGCCTCACTGATATATACAGACGTCAGAACTTATGAAATGCTATACTTTAAATACTGTGCCATTCATTGTATTTCAGTCCCAACTTCATAAAGCTGGTTTTGACAAATGTTAAACTTGACCCAGACTTATTGGAATATATTTTTGAGGGTTTAATTAAGCAGAAGAGCTAACTGGTGAGCACTGGTGGGTGTCAGGGGAATGAACACACGGGGCTGAAGCACAATTTGCTTTTACTGACAGGTGTGCACCGTGGGCAACTGCAGAATTGGTAAGAACAAAGGGCATCCTTTGGATGCTTCCACACCCGGGGAAAGTATGGCTGGTGTAAGGTGGCCAAGGACAGTGCTTCTGAAACTCTAATATACATATGAATCACCTGGGATCTTGTTAGAATGCAGATTCTGGTCCCTGAGCCTGCATTTCTTTTCTTTTTTTTTTAAGTTTATTTTTTTTTTTAGTAATCTCAACAACCAATGTGGGGCTCAAACTCATGACCCTGAGATCAAGAGTTGCATGCTCTTCTGACTGAGCCAGCCTGGTGCCCCTGAGCGTGCCTTTCTAACAAGCTCCCAGGTGCTGTGGGTCCTCTCTGAGTGGCCAATGCCTGGAAGACTGTGTCTGCTCTCAGTTTGCCTCATCCAGGCAGGTTCAGTGTCACCTGTAAGTCTTCAGATAACTAATGCCAGCACAAAACAGTATGACGTGTTTTTCTCTTGTAGCCTAAAAAGGGTAGGGAGAAAAGACAAGCTCAAGAAGCTAGATTTTTAATGGCAGGTGAGTAATACGTACGTCCAGGTGAAAACAGAGCATGAGGCCACATAAACATGTAAGACTTTGATCTTTCTCAACCACCCACATGTTATATTTCATTTCATATTTTAAATTAATGAATTACTTCCTGGGCCCTCTCTTTTAGATAATGGAATAATATGACTCACATAGAGAGAGGTTAATTTTTCTCCTGCCTCCCTGTTGATAACAACCACGCTAAAGAAAAACTACTTTATTCTGTAAGAACCTGAAGATAAAGGAATTCTTAGAAGTGTTTTAATGATCCCATGGAGCTGGCCAATACTTTCCTCAGGGTTTGTCTGTATAAGCTGATGACGATTCAGAGGCACCTGGCCCTCCTCCTACGCACCCCATGCTTCTCAAGGACAGAGGACCAGGGGCCTGCTGGCGTGGGAGAAGCCTACCATGAATGGCCTGCCACCTGACCCTCCGCCTCCTGGGGTCTCCTCACCCAGCTGCCTGCAGCCTCATTGCATCCTCATCACACTGTATGACTGTTCCCATGATGGGAACAGGTCATTCCTGAGTCTACCCCCACCCAGTACCTTGCACAGTGCCTGGGATACAGAATTGTCAATGAATGTGTGTCAACCAGACGCAAGGATGGTTAAAGCAGGGCAAGGTGTTCTGCCATTCTCAAATCTATGCTTCAGAAAAAGGAGCCATCTGGAAAGGCCACTAGCTTTATGAATAACATGTCTGTAGAGAGGTATAAAAGCGTGGATAAGATCTCAGCTCAGGCTGTCTTCTGTGACCTTGGCCAAATCAAATGATTTTTCATGCCTCGGCTTCTAGAAACTCAGGGATAAATAATGGTAGGTCTCACAGGGTAGTTATGAAGACTTAATGAGATAATGTGCAGAAAGCACTGAGCCCTGTCTGAATCATAGTAAGTGCTTAATAAATATTCACTGTTAGAATATAATTATTATTGGGGCGCCTGGGTGGCTCAGTCGTTAAGCGTCTGCCTTCGGCTCAGGTCATGATCCCAGGGTCCTGGGATCGAGCCCCGCATCGGGCTCCCTGCTCGGCGGGAAGCCTGCTTCTCCCTCTCCCACTCCCCCTGCTTGTGTTCCCTCTCTTGCTGTGTCTCTCTCTGTCAAATAAATAAAAATCTTAAAAAAAAAAAAATTAAGAGAATTATATTATTATTAAGCAATGCTATTCCCAAGCCAGAGCAGAGGTACTACAAGGGGGCCTTTTATTAAACTAGTTGTAAAGATTACTCTCAGCCAGTAAACAAGGGGACTTCCCTGCAATGCACCAGGGCAAGTCACTCAGAAGGCACTTCTTAGAGGTCTGTTTGCCCTGAAGGCTGGGAGTAGGGGAGGACTACCAGACAACTGAGCTGAAGGTGGGGTTTTAAGTTCTTTACAGTTCTTTTGTTCTGCTATCTGGCAGAAAGCAGAGGATTATGAAGGGAGGGAGGCAGGGAGGACTACAC